TGCAGTAAACACTCAGTAAACATTTATTAAGCTGGCATATTGATTTCTGCCTTTTTTTATTGGATTAACGAGACATAGTTTAGATTCAAAGAGCCTTCTCATCATCCAGGCTCCATTTGACACAAACATGAAATGAATTTGCTTCTCCCTGTCCAAGCCCAGTTCCTGGCAAAATGGAGCCACTCATTGCTAAGCTACTTTTGGGTTTGGTTTTTTGGGTTTTTTGAGATATTGTAGCTGGGAAGTTGGCAGCTTGCTCTTTCGAAGTGACAGCTTTCAAAAAGTCTACCTAACACAATTTAGCCTAATTCCAAACACATCAGAAAAGGGACTGTTAAAAAAAAAAAAAAATCTCTCCTCATGAGCCAGCTGCCTCCCTGTCTTCCTACCCTTTCCCTAATATGAAAAAAAGTAGATTATTTTCTCCTAAGTTGTAAAAATATTCTTCCGAGAATGATTATACCTGTCACAGATGGAATCTTGAAATCAGTTGAATGTTTAGGTTCATATCCTAGGAATTCCCTAGTGAATTGAAATCTCCATGCAATCTTTGGTAATATTATTACCAAACTGTAGGCATAAATACTGTCCATGAGGAAGTAGGTTTGTTTATTGTTGAAACAACAGGATAAAAGTTCCTCTCTCTATTTCTCTTGGATACCCCAAATTTTAAAGTATCATTAATTAGAATGATTAAAAACATTTTCTTAAGCAGCTTATTGTTTTTTAACTGTTGCTATTCAAATGTCCTGTACCGTAAAATGTAGAAGAAATGCTCAGTGGCTCAGAAGAAGCTAGAATAAGAAGTGAGACCAGTATCTTCTCCAGAGATGGAAATCTGCCTGGTTTACTTTTCCTCTCACCAGAAGTATCTCAACAGCCTCCAAATGTATTTCCTTCTCTCCATTTGCTCCTCACCATTAGAATTACCTTCATGAAACATAGTTCTGATTATGTCATTTTGCTATTTAGAATCCTTTGCAAGTCCTTCTTTATCTGCAGGAGAAAAGGTAAGGTCTCAGTGTACCTACTGTAACAGGTCCCTGCCTACTTTTCCCAAGCTCATCCCCGCCTTGTCCCCATTACTTGATATGTACTGTTCCCTCTGCTAGAAATGCTGTTCCCATGCACTTGTCTGCCTGGAAGTCTCCTATTCATCCTCTAAGACCAAACTCAGATGGCCTTTCATCATAAAGCCTTCCTCACCATCTTTCCCACTGTCCCCACACCATATCATTACTTTCTCTGTTCTTTCATTGCAACTGGCATAATTTCTGTGACATTATTTGTTGCACTGAATTGCAATTATATTTTCTGTGTCTATTTCATCTAGTAGATGGAGAGCCACTTGAGGCCAGGGATTGGCTTACTCATCTTTGTGTCCTCAGAGAGAACTTAGCATACTTCCTGACACATAGGTGGCAATCATTAAATGCTTTTACACAAACTGAATGAAATGATGAATTGGTTCTATACAACATCATTTCTTAATCATACATTAAATGCCTTCCTAATTCTTTTAAAAACCCTCAATCCAGAGAGGTTTACTCTGCACAAAGGCGAGATTGATAATTAACTAGTTAATTAATTGCTTTGGTTCTGACAGGGTGTGGGGTGGGAAGGAGGAGAGATGCTCAGAAAGGCACAAGACCCCATTAGCCTGAAAGATTCTAGATCTCTCCTGCATTTGACTTTTTAGGGATCTAGACTTGATTTCCAGTTTGAATTCATCATATTAGATCTGCCAAATAAGGATTATAATCACTACTGCAAAGGATAACCTATGGTTAATAATGCAGAGTCAAACCAGACCAAGAATATAAGGCTATCTTCCAGAACATTACATCTCCTGCTAAAATAACCTTTGAGACCAGGAAAGCTGTAGAGAGATTTCCAGAAACAACCACTAAACATTCAGAACAGTCTATTAGGAAGAGATGCAAATCCAGCAATCTGAGGAGATTTTCACATATTTTAATTGGCTACAACTAAGTTCAGAAGGGGGCATGAAGAACCCCTAAAACACATGAGGATGTCAAACATCACGACTGACTGGATGGTCCCATCTCTGGGGTCTCACTGTCACCTCAAATATTTCCATTTTTTTTTTTTTTAATATCATGATGCTGTATGGGAAGAGCCTCATGTGAGTTTATACATTTTGAAATGCAGGCTAAAGTCATTCTTAACCAAATATTCACAAAAGCTGTGAATTAAGGGTATCATACCCACTCAGTGTATATTATATATATATTGACTGTCACAGGAGCATTCGAAATGAAAAATCTGCCGTTTATCCCTTTTCCTCCTCTTGCTTCTCTGCCTTCTCAGTCAGTTTGGAAAGAGCAGCTTGATGAAGGGACACTTTTGGAAAAAGCTTCCATTGAAACAAATGAGGAGAGTTTGACTTAGGGCTTTGTGAGCCAAAGCTGTCCTCAGACCAGGGCTCAGGGAGCTTCAAGCCTTCTTTGATGCCCCTAGGGGTCACTGCATAAACTGCAAGAAGACAGCAGCTAATCACACGTGACAGCCTTAGCAGGGGATGACTTGGGAGAAATGGATGTATTTTGTGTCAGAAAACCTGCTTTTGGCACAATAAAAGAGAAACATGAAATGTAAAGGATAAGTAGGGGATAGTTCTTGATCACATGGTTTCTATACTGGTACTTTTCTTCTGTTCTACTCATCTAGGACTTCCCCCATGATACCTGGGTTCAGAGACCCTATCCTCATGGTATGTAGTACTTAGCTCACATGTGGGAGACAGATTAAATGAAGACATGTTTTTAAAACCTGGAACCTGCTATTAATAATAAGATTATAATGACTCTAGGCCTGATGAGTCATTCAATTCTCAAGTGATTGATTTTTCATTCATTCTACAAATAGTCATTGGATACTCATATTCCTCTGCCAGGGCCTGTAATAGGTATCCCAGAATGTTACTTGGGCTGTGGACACATATGATTGTCAAGCAAATGATGACTGATTTTTCAAAATAATTCCCCACCCGTGCCTCCAAAAATAAATACACAGAAATCAATAATCCCAGATTTTTTTTTAAATCAACCTACCTACTCAAGTTCTCTGGTAGTTTTGATTTCTTGTTAGGAACATTTTGTTCAGATTTCAGATATACAGCCCCTGTAAGCTGTTACATGTTCCCCTTAGAAACAAGTGTTCACTGGGGTGGCTCCCAACCTTGTAGGGTATGACAACTTGCACATTCTGAATCAATGAGCATTTGTTGGTCAAGTGTCTCATAGATCAGGTGTCTCATAGGCACTAGTCATTTGATCATCATGGCAACTGGGAAGTAAGTATTGCTTCCATTTTCTTGATGGAGAAACTGAGGCTCCCCTGGGTGGCAAAGTTAGTAAGTGACAAATGTGGAACCAGAACCCAATTCTTCTGAGTCCTGAACCAAGGGGCTCTTTGCTACATCTCACTGTCTCTGTTCACATTTCTCCTCACTGATCCTATGCCCCTTTCTCTTTCTGTTCTTTTTGCCCACTTCTTTCAGCACCTTGGCCCCCATTCCCCAGGGCCAAAAGTCTTCTCTGCCAGAGGAGGATTTTGCTAAAACACTGAATACACCAAGGTATAATAATTTGCTTATAATTGCTTGATAATTTGACGTCTGCATGCTTTCCAATTTTATTTGCATTCTTAGAGAAAGGAAGGAAAAGAAAAGAAAGGAAAAGAAAAGAAAATGATAAACCCAAGTTTGGGGAGTGAAGGAGTGAACATCAACTACTTGCTTTGACCTCAGTTTCCCCACCTTGTAACATGGGGATTTAGATGAGTTAATTAACAAGTCCTTTTTAACTCAGTTCTGTGTCTCTAATCGCAGAGTTGTAGGGAATGCAGCACCCCACTTGGAGAGAGCTCAGAACTACAAGTTCACAAGTCTGTCCGGATGCTTCCACTCAACTGAAGAAGCCCTTCTGTGAGTTCCCCCCTCCAAATTTGGATGGTACCTTAATGGATGGTACTAGATATCTCTCTGTTTTCACAGTTGGATATCAAATTGTCTAGACATGACAGTAACCCAATCAAACCTGTCTACAAGGTGCAGGCAGTTCTCTAATTTGCCGGACTTGTTAATAATCAGCATGGTTCTTTCCCTTTGCTTTCAACTGCTGATCTCTTTCTGAGGAGGCGGATTAACCACCCACCACAGGGGTGATCGTGGGCACCTGCCCCCAACAAGTGGGTGTTTACCTCCCAGTTAAACCTAGCGCACAGTACCCTCAGGAGCAGAAGTGGGCTTGCTGCATGAGTGCTACCAACAAAAAGTGGTCCATGCGAGATGCCATTCAAGGACATGTGAATGTCCCTGCTGTGACCCAAGGGAATGCTGTCTGTGTCACCAAGCCACTGCTGGCTCCTGGGCCCCATCACAGTTGACAGGGCTGAGTGGAGGTCAGCTGCTGGCTGCTACTCCCAGAGCAGGTCCCTTGGGATCATTGGAGGCGAGAGCAGGGGAAGCAGCTTGCCTCACCTGCTCACTAGGCTGTTCTGGAGAGAAATAGAGGGCTTCCATCTCCATTACTGTCAGAGTCTGGCATCTTTCACCAGTTCTGAAATTCACAGCAATGGAGGGAGGAGGGAGGAGGGAGAGGGAAAGAGGCACAAGCCAGACAATCAAAACAGCCACAATATTTTGGAAGTGGAAACTTCCAGCTAGAGAATATTTTTAAAAGCAGAACAGCAGGGCTGGAAGAGGCATCCACTGAGCCAATGCCCTTGTTTTTTAGAGGAAATAGCTAAGAGGTAGAAAGACAAAGTGACTTCCCTGGGATCACAAAGCTATTGAGTGGTAGAACTGGGACAAGAATCTGGATCTTGGGGCCTTTTACCACTCAGAAGAAGGCTTGGGAGTCTTTTCTTTGATACCAGACACTGGCAGGGGAGCCGCTTTTGTGGGAACCTAGTGGAGACAAAGGGTGCTGACCCAGCCAGCACCTGCAGGTAGGAGCAGGTGGGGAACCCTGTACCTTGCAGGTTGACACCTCGGGGCATCAACCCTTGCAGCTCCACAGTGGGGAGGTCATCCTCTGCCGCATTGGATGCATTGCGGGGCAGGGCTCTCCTGCCTCCAAATGCAGGCTCGGAGGTCTCGGACATTCTCAGCTAGCTTCACAGGCTCCTTGTGGGGGAGAAAGGGAGACACAGAAAAGGAATGGGAGGCGAGTTACATTTGAGACAAGGATTCAAAAATAGAGAAGCAGACATGTCTGTGTGGGGTAGCACTGAAGCAACACATTGTGAGTTTCACATAAATAAAGCTTGAGAAGTGGCAGTAAGGATTAGTCTAATGATGGAGCACAGTTCCCCAAGGACCTTGGGGAGATTTCTTGTTTGTCAAAACATATGGAAAGCAGAAGAAACAGGACTTATTTGGAGAAATAAGATTTTAGAAAGCAGGGTATTTTTTCCCCCCTCATTACCCCTAAAGGCAGTATTTTTGTAAGAAACATTTAATGTCATATGCCCGTACATATGTCCATTTCATATAGACTTACAAAGCCCTAAGTCACTTTTAAGAATAAAGTTATCCGGGGCGCCTGGGTGGCTCAGTTGGTTAAGCGACTGCCTTCGGCTCAGGTCATGATCCTGGAGTCCCGGGATCGAGTCCCGCATCGGGCTCCCTGCTCAGCAGGGAGTCTGCTTCTCCCCCTGACCCTCCCCACTCTCATGTGCTCTCTATCTCATTCTCTCTCTCAAATAAATAAATAAAATCTTAAAAAAAAAAAAAAGAATAAAGTTATCCAACCATGTCCAGATAAGTGGCATCCTCCAAAGCATTCATTTTTGCAACTTCATTCAACCAATATTTAATGAGAGCCTACTATGTGCCAGGCTGTGATCTGGGCACTTGGGATGCATCAGAGAACAAAACAGAGGATTGTTGACCTAGAGAGCTTTCTGTCCAGTGAGGGCTAGGGTGGAGGCCACACTTTGCAGAGGTAAACAGAAAAGGGTGTGAGAAGGTGGCAAGTGCTTTAGAGCCAGGACCACACAGAGCAGGAGAAGGCTGATGGAATCTGGGTGGGTGAAGGGGGTACACTGCAATTTTAAATTAGGGCTATTAATAGCCTTTCTCTGAATGTATTTGGTCAGTGGTGCTAATACTGACTTTTCCCCAAGCCTGCTTCCCCTTCCTCTGGAGTTTGTACAGGCGAGGAGCCAGCTTAAACACCAACACCTCACTGTCAGGCCCCAATCAGTCGGTACTTGTTGACCAACTGACCAAATAAAGGGAGCCCTTGTTTCTGGCCCAAATGGAGCTTTTACCTTGATCACCTGGATCACCCAGTCATGACTCTTGGTTATTTGGCTCTTCTCAAAAACCTCAAAGATGAAGAGCATCCACTATAGAGGCAACCAGAGTAGACTGTTCCGGAAACATGTTGAGCAAAGGCAACACAGCTGGAGACAAGAGAACCACTTTCTAAGGTATTTGGTCTGGGAAGGAGACAGCAATGTTTGCGAGTATAAAGTCTGAATAGGTTTCCGTAAATACCTACAGACATACTTACACAAAGGCTCCAGTGAGCTAAGGGGACAGGGAGAAAGGGTTAATGATGGAGGGAAGGTAAGAAAAAGCAGTCCTCTGGAGGAAAATAAGCCGGGTGAGGAGGGGAGGGTGTAGGGGAGAACAGAGTAGAGCAGTGCGGTAGCCTGTTGGGAGAGAGAACCCAGAAAGCTGAGAGCTGGTGAGCCCCAGGTGCTTACCAGGTAAGGGGAGACTGTGCAGGTGAGTGCAGGTGGGCAGAAGCAACCCCTTCTCCACAGGTCTGGGGGCACAAGTGCTCAACTTCAGCTCTTGCATTGGGAGAGGGAAAGGGGATGCACAGGGATGCAGAGCCAAGCCAAGCAGGTGTTCTTACCTGGTCCTATATCCCTCTCTCTCTAACCTTTTGTTTCACCCCTCCATAGTCTGCTCCCCTGAAGAGAGGGGAGCTCCCTTGGGGAGCACTCCCAGGTCCTTTATTCCCATCTGGTGGCCTTCTTGCAAGCAGCAGCTTCCGGGAAGCTTGGAGTACCTGAGAAGTTCCCGCTTGGACGGAAGAGGGGCTGGGTAGGCGCTGAGATGGGGACCAGGAGAGGCAGTGGAAAAGTGGGGGCGCCTCTGACCCTCGTCCCCTATACCCGGAGCAGCCGCCTGAGGGATCGCTGGAAAACTCTAGGGCAGGGGGGCAGGTGCAGCGGGCCCCTCGGCTCCTGGGTGCAGGTTTGCCCCTGGGTGCAGGTTTGCCGTGAGGCCCGGCAGGAGGGGCTGCTGCTTACCTGCGGTCCCCGCCTGAGGTGCCCTAATGCAGGCTGGCTCTGTGCGGCTCAGGGGTACTTCCTCAAAAGGACGCAGGAAAAACGACAAGAAAGTTGGCTCTTAAATAACTTCCTAACAGCCCTCCCCCTCCTCCCCCTCCAATCCCACAGGGTTTTCTCCTCCCCCTTCTTGACAGCTGGAGCAAACAGAGCAGCTTCTAGGACTTTCTACTTACTTCTGCCATCCTGTTGATGTTATTCTGGCATGAGCCCCTCCTCCCACCCATGCCCCCTTACTCCCAAGTTCCTAGCCCTGCTTCTCCTCACCATCCCCACCTCCAGTTCTGCCGCCCCTCTCCAGCGCCCTGCACACCCTGCCCCCTCCCTTTCCTCAGAGGGGCTGTAAGGGTCTTCCTCTGCAGGTAATGTCCCCCCTGGGGATTCTGAGGTTGGCTGCTTGGATGAAGGGTGGGTCTGCCCTCTGGCAGACAGGTCACAGACAGCTGTGACCATGCATAAAGCAAGAGAAATGTGTCCTTCTTGAGTCAATAAGGCTGAGGGGGGATGGTCTGCATTCTTAAAACATCCATGGGAGCCTCAGCCACCACCTAACTGCAAGACTTCCCACAGGAGGGGAGGCCCAGCCCTGGGGAAGATGAGTAAATAACTTTAAGTGTCACAAAATTAGAAAATAACTGTTTTGTTTTTTTTTCCTGAAAACCATTTTGGTTTATCTTCAAATAACTGGAGAAATAGAAAATTTTTCTTCTATGTATATATTTTTTTCTGAGTCTTTGTATCTCTAAATACTCCTATTTTCAGACATGGCTATTTTTAACCTTCTTTACTGTCTTCAAATTTCTGACCTTGCCCCCTGATCTAATTTCAGAGAGAGAGGGGAAAAAAAAAGACACCATCGGTTAGGAATTCTCTAAATTTTCTGCTACCAATCTATGAACTTGCCTGCAAACTTACCCATATTTCCCTCTTTCTTTCTCTTACTAAAGTGGAAAAGGTTTCCAGTCACCCCCTTGTCCGTGGCCAAGTGCAGGAGGCCCTGCCTTTTTGCCTGTGGTCCATGTCACCTTGTTCTCCAGGGCCTTGACATACTGCGTATCCATTCTTTCTCCTCTATCTTCAAGCTCCCACTCGGGCAGCTTCTCCCCACCAGCACTGACACAACTTCAAGGTAAGTCTCTTCAATACTAAGTTAAATCCTTCCCTGGGCCAACATGCCCCTGGCTATTGCTCCCCTCTTTCCTCTTCATTGCAAACTTCAACCATCTGGCATCTGCCCCCATCATTCCATTGAAACTATCTCAAGGTCACCAATGGTCTGTGCTAAATACAAAGGACAGGATTCTGTTCTAATTCACTTACCCTTTGGAGACACTGAACTTGCCCACTCTTGCCTTGAAGGTTTGTCCCCCTCGATTCTGGGGCATTACACTCCTCCAGGGCTGCACACACCCCCTCGGATTAACGTGGTGTTCCCATCGTTCTCATTTCCCATCTGTATCCTGACATGTCCCAAATTTAGGTCTTTAGCCATGATCTTTTCCAGAACCTCAGATTCCCCAATGTAACTGCCTCCTAACCATCTTGGCATGCCCCAGTGATAACTCACACACATCATGTCTAAAATGAGATGTGTAATTTCCCCTGAAAACCTGGTTCATCTCAAAAGTTCCCTGTCTCAGTGAATGCCATCACCCTAATTCTGTTGCCAAGCCAGACATGTGGTGTTGTTCTCGGCACTTCCTTCTTTTCCTCCCCTCAACTCCCAAATCCAATCCCTCAACAAACACTTTCTATTCTTCCTCTTAAATATCTCTTGAACCTAGCCATCCACTCCCACTCCCACTGTGGAGGTTCAGACCCACCACATCATCCTCTGTTTTCAAAATCCCCAGAACCACCTACCACTTCCAATCTTGAGTCCTCCATCCTGTTCTCCACACTGCAGTGAGAAAGAGCTTTGAGGGCTCAAATCTGAAATCAAATTGTTTGCACAAACTCTCCTATCACCACTTCCCTTTGCTTTTAGGATAAATTCCAAACTTTGGTTGCCTGGGTCTCTGCAATGTCTGTCCTACTTTACCCTCCATCCCCATCTCTTTCGCTCTCTCTTGCCTTATGCTCTCTTGCCTTCTGCCCTGCTCTCTTGCCTTCTGACCCCCACTCTACCCACCTCCTGCCCCCCAACCCCTTGGGCTATGCTCCAGCCCCAGTGATTTCCCTGCTTGTACCACTTTTACCACTGCCAGAAAAACGCTCCTCTCCTCTCGCCTCTTCTCACCACCAGACTGTTTCTTACTTGCTCTCCAGATCTCAGCCTAAACTGCACACATGCCCTGCAGGGAGTTGACCTTGTCCTGATGCTTCTCTTACAATGCAGCCACTGTCTGTCTCCTTGTCTGTACTCCCACTAAACTGCATGAGGGTAGAAACCCCAAATGGAGTTCCCCAGGGAGAGTCTGCTGACCATTCCATTACTCAAAGTCCATCCTTTCCATATTCTTTGCTGAGTTCTAGAGAAGGACCATCCTACTCTGGTAGTTCTCCCGACAAAAATCGAGCCTGAGTGTCCAGAATTCCTAGAGACCCCCTTGCCCATGTGGGTCTGGGGAAGAGTGAGGCAGCTTTGCATCCTTCAGATTAGGTGGCACAGCTGCCAGACCCCCTGGGATTCCTGGCTGTGCTGTGCATTCAGGACAGGCTTGTCACCCTCACAACCACCACCTCTGTGCCACTTTTGGCCTGAGACTCAGTAGTTATTGTGTGACTATGCATACATGTTGTTTAGCTTTCTAACTTCCCCAGACCACTGACCCAGAAACATTAAAAACGCAATGGCTTTCCTTGTGCCTAAAACTACTGTCAATAGAAGAGTGTCTGGGGTCACCAAGCACAGCACGTGGTTGAAACCCAGAGATGTTACAGAGCTTTTCCTCACAGCACTGAGGCTTAGAAGTCAGAACGAAGTTTCCTGGCCATACCATGAACCTTGAGCTATGCCAAAAAAATGTGACTATTGTAGAAGCAGCTGGATGAATAGACTCTGAACTCTGTGGTGTCCTTTGTTTCTGAATGTTTCTTGCCTGGTATGGAGGTGGCAAAATACAGGTATTTAAGGAACGTTGCATGTGGGGTCCAGCTGGGAAAACAAAAACCACCTCAGATATTTTTAAAAGAGGGAACGAACACAGGGGTTTGGTTACACGGGTGCCAGAAGAGACCAGAAGCCAAAGAGGGGAAAGCAAATCAACTCAGCAATTAGCAACAGCAGGGGTGTGTGGTGTCATCACAGCACAAGGGTTGGGGTTTTGGGGCGGGGACTGGGACTGGGACTGCTTGACATCTGGTCATCACCAGAAACACTGCCTGTCTGAGGTCGGGAGGGAGGGAAGAATGACTCTGGCTCTTCTCTTCCTTCCCTTTCCACTCTCCCTCCAGTGTCTCTCATTTGCTCAATTTGGTGAAAATCAGTTGATAAAGGAGTCCGGGTAACACAGTCCACAAAGCCGGTACCTCCACATCTGTTTTGAGAGGGCTTCCCAAGACCACCCCCAGGTTTGATGATTCACCAGGCTGTCATCTTCACAGCTGTGATTTATTACGGTGAAAAGATAAAAATCAAAATCAGCAAAGGACAAGGCTCATGGAGGGAAGTCCCAAGAAAGCCAGGAGCAGACTTCCAAGAGTCCCCTCCCAGTGGCATCAGACACATGCTTACATCCCCCGGCTATGAATGTGACAACACGTATGAAATGTTGCCTACCGGAGAAGCTCATTAGAGACCCAGTGCCCAGGGTTGTTATTGGAGGCTGGTCACACAGGTACTCTGCTGAGCATGTACCAAACTCCAGACTCACAGAAGGAAAGCAGGTGCTCAGCATAAACTGCATTGTCTGTCCAAACAGCGTGGGCACAGACAGCCATGTTCATCAGTTAGGGAACAGTGGGACTCCTGAAGTCCAAGTTCCCAGATGCCAGCCAAGGGCTAGCCATGCAAAGAAGACTTTCTGAGGAGGGTAGTCTCAGGTGTGCTGTGTTGACTCCTTTCTCCATATCACCCACACTGCCCACCCCCACACACCCCAAAACAGAGTAAAGCAAGGACAAAGTGAGGAGTAGATCTCTGGGCAAACAGTTCTAGTGAGGCCTGTCCCTCACTCTCCCTTCTAGACGTTGCTGTCGGGGCCATAGTAATTGCTTGGAGCAAGAGGAAACTCCAAGGGGAAGGTCCTTGATTGGGGTAATACAGGTGTCCCCACACACACTTTCCCTGGCCTCACTGGCTCAGGATGGGACCCTTGAAGAGGCGTGCATTCTCTCGGAGTGCATAAGCCCTGGCACACCTTCTCATTTCCCTGCAACTAAAGGGGCCATGATCCCTGTGTCCTGTTGGTTGAAACAGAGCTGCAATTAACCCCTCATTGCCTACTCAAGGGGCAGGGCAAGAATACCTACAGCCGTCACTTAGGGATCCTGGCTCCCATCAGAAATATGTAGCAATGTCTGGGAGCTGTAGGTGAACAGAAGGTGCATGGGATGGGGGGAAGGATTCCAAGTTATCTTACTTTGACTTGTTCAGTCTGAGTTTTCATTTCCAGGGTGTGGACAGGGTGTGGACACTCTTCTCTCTAGATAAACTACCATCTCTCTCCTACTTGGCAATACCCAGAAGCAGACTATTTGCTCAGGGGCTGACTTTTCCAGCAAACTCTATTTGATTTATATGCAAAACATCACATCTCAAACAAACAACAAAAAAGTCAGTCACGTCTGGACCCTGCTGGTTTTTTTCCAGTTGAAACAGACCTGGATTTTGTTGGTTATTGATGTAGTTGGTTGCACAGGGAGTGGATATAAATAACAACAAAGTTGCCAAACCCCCCAACATAAATGACCAAAGTTCATCTCTTGGGGAAGACTGTCTCCTCCAGTGACCTTGAGTCTTAGGAACTGGGGGGGAACTTTCCACTCCAGAAGAGGTGGGGTTAGGGACAGGATGGGAAGGAGGCTGGGCAAAAAGTTTATAATTACGTTCCAGCCATCAGAGTAAACAGTCAGTAAAGGAGAGTGGGCCTCTGCGTCCATTCACGTCTTTCTAGAAA